CTCCAGGTTAATTCTCCTCGTTAAGGGAATTTAAAATTTTTTAATTTAATTTTAAGTGACCAAAGTATCAACAACAATAAAATGAATTAAAAAATTTAAAAAAAAATGCAAGAAAGCAGTTAAAGAATCGCAAAGGAGCGTAGGGGGAAGGAGCGTCCGTCAACACAGGACTTGAGTAGTTTAAAAAAGGAGGCCGAGGGCCTGTATTTATAGGCGCCAAAACGGACTGGTTTCCGGTGGCTGGGTCGCCGGATGGACCGCCGGCTCGGCGGCCCGCCGGCGGCCGGGCCGCCAAGTTCTCGGCGGCCGGGCCGCCGGCTGAGCCGCCGGATCGGCGGCTCTTCCCGGCAGCCGGGCCTCGGGTTCTCGGCGGTCGGGCCGCCGGCTGGAGCCGCCGGATCGGCGGCCCTCCCGGCGGCCGGGCCGCCGGGTTCTCGGCGGCCGGGCCGCCAGGCTGGGCCGCCGGATCGGCGGGCCCTCCCGGCGGCCGGGCCGCCGGGGTCTCAACGTCGGGCCGCGGGTCTCGGCGGCCCGCCGGCGGCGCAAGGAGCGTAGGGGAGAAGGAGCGTCCGTCAACACAGACTGAGTGAGTTGAAATGAAGACATCGGGGCCAATTTATAGGCAAAAATCGAACTGTTGGGCTGCCTGGGCCGCCGGTCCGGCGGCCCGAGCCACCGAGGTCGGCGGTTTTGCTATTTTTTTCGTTCCGGAGGCTTTTTCGGGAGTTCCGGACCTCCAAAAAATGTTCCGGGACTAGTTTCGTGATCCTTATAATTTTCCGGACGTTTCAAGTACCATATTGGCATACTTCCGATGAACTTTCCGAATGGCCTCCGGCCCGGCCGGACTTTCGCAGTCCGGAAGAAAACAGGCTTTTGAGCCTCAAAATTTGAGTGTTCACAATCATGCACGGGTTGTAGACCATCGTCGCTGCTCGAAGACCAAAAGGGTAGCATTAGAGCTGAAGAGTTATCTTTGGTAGTTATGGAATTAGTAATATGTATTTAAGATCTATGGCATGTATAACATAAGTATTTTTTTGAGAATGCATTTATTATGAACACATATGTATGAGAATTTATGTTAGAAGATTGTATAAGTTTATTCTATCATGGAGCTGTGTATTATTAAGTTGTAGGATGGTATTTAAGTTACTTATGCATGAGTGGTTATGGAATTTACACCTAAGGACCTTAATGATTTTGAATGATTTTTGAGAATGTTGATGTTGTTGATGAATGAATGATTATATATTGTGTAAAAGTTAATATTGAGTCGAGATTGATTATTTTGGAATTTATAGGATGTTTGAGGTTTTTGAATTAGAAGTGTTTTGTATTCACAGTTTTTAGGAGAAATATTTACAGTTTTTGTAACACCCGCCGCCCAGCCCTAAGAGACCCGACGGCGGATGCCACATTCGGCGCCGGGGACACCGTCCTAACATAACATATAAATCATAAAATCAGATTATGGATTTATTGAATTAGGAAGTGATTAAGGTATTGACAAGTTTAGCAAGTAATTTTTTTCAATTTGTTTTTGAAATTTATATATATATAACTTATGAAAACATTTAGGAAAAATCCTACAGCAAAAAACTGCAAGAGTTCCCTTTAAAAACCGGAGCTCGCCAAACTTGTGAATACAAAACCTCCTAATTTTAAACTCTAAACCCCCAGCAAACTCCATAATCACCATAGCAACACAACAACACTTTATACCTTCATTAAACTATAGAAACCCTCAATAGCATTTTTTAATGATCATCAATTAAATGTATTCATTATATATATGTATCAAGTCCTTATGTTCTTAATCATACCAACTATCTTAAAATTATTTTATATCCAAACATTAAATAAAAATCTCATTGCTTATCTCCAATTATTTACACCAAACTAATTTATTTCATTACATGCTTAAGTTTATATTCAAATTAACATAATCTCCGAAAACGGTAATAATTATACATGCCATGATTTCTTAAGTACATTTCAAAACTAATTCTACCACTTACTAAAATAGTCGGCTTCTGTCTGAAGCTACTCTTCTGATCTTCAAAGTAGCAACCACGCGACTTCAACCTGCGCGATGATAAAAATCAACGCGCTGAGTATAAAACTCAGTGGTGCTCATAAAATGACAAACTTACCAATGTTGACTGGCAACACACCTTGAAAATATAACTTTTTCATCAAAAGACATACATTTACATTATAGCAAAAGAAATATCCAAAATAAACTTATTAATTAATAACATAAATAATTTAATTTCTTCCAAATCATAAATTCATTACTTGGACATTTATTATACAATACACATACTATTTATTTTAAAACCAGTATCGAAATATCATGCTTTTTGAAAATTATATTTGAGAACCATAATCATTTATTTCCAACTAAGGTTTAAACTTGAAATAATATAATCTTATTCATTTAAGTGCCTTAAAAAATATTTCCAAGGGCTCGGATACAACTTAAGAGAAAGAGAAGCAGGTAGGTTTTCATACTTATTCATAACGGCCCTTAGGTCGCCAACCTTTTTCATACATATAGAGCCGCGTCACCGCCCTAAACATAAGACCACCACGTGCCTAGCATATTGATTCATAGCTTCGTATCATAATGGCATCAAATGCCGAGCATGCTCATCAACAAATAAAATCAAATCTGGCATTCAAATCACACCAAGTATTAATTAGAGCCCAAAATCCTTGTTTTTAATTCTGTAATTCATAATACTTCTCATAAACTTGTCTTATTTCTTTAGTCTTCTTAAATTCATAATGTAAGCTTACTTTAGAACAAAGTTAACTCATGAAAAATTTAAACATTAAAAAAATTCTTATCATATGGAATCATACATAGTAAGCTTACTTTTGAACTAAGTTGACTCATGGAAAACTTCATTACTTAAAACATGAATTACTACTTAACATAGAAAATTTCTCATAAATTCATTTTCTTTTAAAACTTTCTTAAAGTCATAATGAAATTTATCATAAGTCATTTCCTATCATATAAAATCATAATTTCCTTATTGGACATTCAAAGCACATACACTTTAAGTACCCTTTTTTTTTTCATAAACTCTAAACATATGAAAGTTATTAAAATAATCATACTTATGTCATAGATATAGCATATCATAAAAAGAAATTAAGTAAGCCTTACCACCTTAGGGTGGTTCGGCCTCTTAATGGAAACCAAAGGGAGGAATTTCCTCCTTCAATCAAGTTTCTCAACCAAGCATACTACATAAAACTCTTTTATGCAACAAGGTATCCATTTTCTATCCTCATTTCATTGCATTATCTAAACTTAAATTCACACTTTATTCCCAAAATTTCCAACAATTTTTTTCCCATTATGTCCATTTAAACATATCCACAAATTAACACTTTTCAAACTTATATCTTATTTTTTGTCAAATAAATCCTCAACATACAAATTAAATCAAAGAACCTATCACACATGATTTCATTACATACATTGATCCAAATAAAACACATGATTCAAGGACTATGATTCAAGGCATAGGAAATTTCCAGCATTAAAATAAACTTGACCTTTGCTGGGTTTTTAAGACATAACTTGAGTTATAAATCTCCAAATTGAATTAAATCAGATTCATTAGAGAGCTAAGACAAAATTCTACAAATGTCATGAAGGGACCATAGCCCAGTTCAATCTGTAAGATAGCAAACAAAAGCTAGGAATACAGACCAACAGACCAGACCTGATTCAGCAGAACCATGTCCAATGTTTATTGAATTCCTACCTAACCAAACACTCAAATTAAAACAATCTAGAACCAGAGAAGTCTCAAGACATAGGGAAACAACTACTCTCATGAAGAACTCATGAACATAATCTTGTGCCAATTAGTGGTCCACAAATGGGCAATCAAATTCAGTGATGCATGTGGGCCCGTCATAACACAGTTTCAGTTTGGGTGTTTCAGCCAATTCAAGTTGAGCTATATATCTCCAAATTGGACAAAGAGGATGGTTTGGGAAAGCTAAGGAGATAGACCTACAACTTTTTGAAGGACCACAGACACAAATGAAAAACTTAGAAAGGATTCGAAAAAATGCGTCCTTAATCTCACTCAAAAACCGTTTTTTCCAAATTTCAGCTTACTTTAACCATTGAAAGGAACTGAACAACAAAAGATACAAGGTAGAAATGTCTACCACAACTAAATACTCATTCACAATATTTCACCTAAGAGCATGTAATTGCAACCAAAATCAACAAATCAATCATTTCATACAAATCCAAAATATTCCACATAAGAGCATAAAGGCAACCAAATCAAAAATTTGAGTAGGTAAGTGGTGTTTATGGAACACTAACCTTTAAAAATAAGGCTTTAAGCAGCTTAAAATTTAAGCTTTTCTAAGCTCTAACTTTGCCTTTTACTCATGGTAGAGGTTTCTCAACCTTTGGCTCAAGTAGAGAAATCTTCCAAATTTTTCTTGGAAATAAGTCACCAAAAATCACTTCCCAAGCTTTTAATCTCTAGGATTGGATAACTAAATCAAGTTGGTTGGGGTGAATTTGATGTGTTTGTAACACCCCGATTCCGAAAGACCCGGACGGTGGATGCCACATTCGGTGTCCTAACTACATATAAAATCAAAACCAATCATATTTATGAATTAGAAGTTGACTTCTTTAGTATTCACAAGTTTAGCAAGTTAATTAGTATTTTGTTTGAAAATGATTTTGGAGAATCCTACAGAAAAACTGCAAGAGTTTTCCCCTAAAAAATAGGAAAAAGTTGCCAAAACATATGAAAATACAAAGCACTCCCAAATTCAAACTCAACCCCGTAAAACTCCAATAAAACAACACAAATAGCACTTTCTAAGCACTTCTATAATTTCATAACTCCATAGTTCCTCAATAACATTATAATATTCATCACTTAAATACATTCATTTAAATATATCAACTTCTAATGTTCTGACCATTAAATAAGTCCAAGTTTATCTCCCAATATATATACACCAAAATAATTTACAATAACATGTTTAAGGTATAAATTAAATAATACAGTCTCCAAAAATGTAATCGTTATACATGCCAAAATTTTTAGTTACATAAAATACTAATCAACTACCAAAAGATTTCTTCAGCTCTGATGCTACTCTTCAGGTGTTTAAGCAGCAAGCACAATCTCCAACCTGCGCGTGATAAAATCAACGCGCTGAGTATAAAAACGTTTATAGCATAAGAAATATCAAATAAAATTACAATTAATAACATAAATAATTTAGTTCTTTTACACCATAAGTCCTTTACTTAAACATTTATTTACCAATAAACATGTTATTATTATAAAATTATGCACCAACACATCACATTTTGGAAATTCATTTGATAACATAAATAATTAAATCTAAACTAAGATTTAATAAAAAAATGCAATCTCATTACTTTAATTTCCTTAAAAATGTTTTCAAGGGGCTCGCATACACTTAGGAAAAAAAGAAGCAGATAAGATTCCATAGCTTATTCATAATGGCCTTATATGCCAACTTATCATAACATATAGAGCGCGTCCGCCCTAACATAAGACACCCACGTGTCTAGCATATGATCATAGCTTATTATCATAATGGCATCAAATGCAAATGCCGAGCATGCTCATCATACATAATTTAAAATCCAAATCATGCATCAAATTCCACACCAAGTATATTAGAGCCCAAAAAACATTTCTCATAAAATTCATTTTTCTTTAGTCCTTCTCATAATAAAAACTTATTTTAAACTTAAGTAATTCATAAAAATTTCATACTTAAACAAAAATGACTAACATAGAAAAATTTCCAGCATAAAAATAACATGGACCCTTTGCTGTGTTTTTAAAACATAACGGAGCTTATGGGTCTCCAAATTAAATTGAAATTAGAGTCATTAGAAAGATAAGACAAAATTTATACAAATGTTATGAAGGGATCACAGCCCAGATCAATTAGGAAGATAACAAAAACAAAGCTAGGAACACAGACTGACAGACCGACCTGATTTCAGCAGAACCAAGTCCATTGTTTTCTTGATTCCTACTAAGCCCCCAACACTCAAATTAAACCAATCCAGAACGACGAGAATTCTCAAGACACATGGGGAAAACACTTTTATGAAGAACTCAGAAACCTAATCTTTGTAATTATAGTGGTCAAATATTGGGCACTCAATTCAGTGATGCATGTGGCCCGAACACAAAACAGGTCACTATTTTGGGTGTTTTATGCCATAAGTTGAAGTTATATATCTCCAAATTGGACACAAAGAGGATGGGTTGGAAAGCTAAGAGATAGAACTACAACTTTTATGAAGGACTCCAACCCACAGATGGAAATTATAAAGGATTGAAAAATGGTCCTAAATCTCACTCAAAATCACGTTTTTTCCAAATTCAGTTTACTTTTAGCCATGAAAGGAACATGGAACCCACAAAGATACAAGGTAGCAAATGTCTACCACACATTAAATTACTCATCAAAACATCATCCAGAGCATGTCAATGGCAACCAAAATTCAACAAATCAATCATTTCATACAAAATCTCAAATATACACATAATAAGCATAAGGCAAATCAAAAATTTGAGTAAGTAATTGTGTTTATTGAACACTACCTTCCAAAACAAGCTTTAACAAGCTTTAATCAAAGCTTCTCAAGCTTTGGTCTTGCCTTTATCCTTATTAGAAGGCTCTCCACCCTCTACATGGAAGTGTAAATACCTAAATTTTGAGGCTCAAAAAGCCAGTTTTCCCGGCCGCCCTTAAAGGCGGCGGCCGCCCTAAGGCCCAAAATTCACATTTTGGCCCCTAAGACCCGAAAATTCTCAATCTGGACCCCTAAGGCCCAAAAATTCACATTTTGGCCCCTAAGGCCCGAAAATCCTCAATCTGGACCCCTAAGGCCCAAAAATCACATTTTGGCCCCTAAGGCCCAAAAATTCACATTTTGGCCCCTAAGGCCCAAAAATTCCCAATTTGGCCTCTAAGGCCAAAGAAGAAAGAAGGAGAGGAAAGGAGAAACGTGGAATGTAGAAGAAGATGGCAAAATTTGGTGGTCAATAATTGATAGTTGCTTTATTAAAGCAACTAAGGGGGTATTTTGGTCTTTTCTTCAAATAGAAGGGTGTTTTGGTCTTTTCTCCAAATATTCTCCAATTAAATTCCTTCAAAAAATTATTTATCTCCACAAAACTCTCTAATTTATTCCATAAAAATAATTTCTCAAATTTCCTCCATAAAAATAAGTTGCTCAAATTTCCTTACTTAATATAACACCATAATTCACTAGTCACTAATTATCTAAATTCTCCAAAAATATTCCTTACTTACTTTCTACCCATAAAAACCATGCATACATGCTCCAAAAATGTAAATGTTAAATTAAAAATATAAAACATAAAATAAGAAATTTTTCGGACCAAAAATAAATGACCAACCCAAATTTCTTGAAATAATTCACCAAAAATCACTTCCCAAGCTTTAATCTCTAGGATTAATAACTTAAATCAAGTTGGTTGGGGTGAATTTGATGTTTTTAGTAAGGAAGAATTGAAGAAAATGAAGAAGAAGAAGAAGAAGGAGGAGGAGGAGGAGACGTGTAAGGAAAAAAGAAGAAGAAAGAAAAATGGTTGTACAATAATTGATGGTTGACTTATATAAAGCAACAAGGGTATTTTAGTCTTTTCCCCTAATTGGATAGCTAGGATTAAGTCAAGTAATCTCATCTAATGGCTACAAATAATCTCCAAGTAAATTCCTTCAAAATATTATTTATCTCCATAAAATTCTCAAATTTATTTAATCCTTAAAAAAAATTTCTCAAATTTCATTACTTAATATACACCATAATTCAAACTATTCACTAAATTATCTAAATTCTCCAAAAATATTTCATTTTAACTTATTTTCTACCATAAAAAATCATGTATTCATACTCCCAAAAATATTAAATAAATATGAAACATAGAATAGTAATTTTCTGGACCAAAAATAATACTGACTCCCGGACCGGTGGTACTATTCCACAGACCGGTAAAAATCACAGACCGGTAAAACTATTATTTTAGACACAGAAAAATTAGGGCGTTACAGTTTTTCTATAGGATTTTCCCAAAATATTTTCTAAGTTAAAAATTAGGACTTACTAGAATTGTGATTACTTAAGCACCCTTAATTCATTTATTAGTTTTAGGATGGATATGTTAATATGATTATATATTGTGTAAAAGTTAATATTGAGTCGAGATTGATTATTTTGGAATTTATAGGATGTTTGAGGTTTTTGAATTAGAAGTGTTTTGTATTCACAGTTTTTAGGAGAAATATTTACAGTTTTTCTATAGGATTTTCCCAAAATATTTTCTAAGTTAAAAATTAGGACTTACTAGAATTGTGATTACTTAAGCACTCTTAATTCTTTTATTAGTTTTAGGATAGATATGTTAGCTAGAATGATGCCTCCCGCACTGAATGTGGCGTTTGCTGTCAAATCTTCTGAGACCGGGCAGCGGGTGTAACATCCTGGACCTCAAACACCATATCATGATCATATATCTGTATTTATGAATATGACATATGTGACATGAATTTGTATATACATGCATTTGCAATTGATCTATGATAAATAATAGGCAATGATATTCCTAAACACGACTTTGCACATAAGCATCTGATAAGAATGTAAATATTCAAATGCATAATTTGAATAAGCTCTGGACCTAAAAAAACTTTGTACTCTGTCTTAGACACAGAGGGTGCATATATATTCTTTAAAGTCTTTCATTACACCTATGTTCGATGTTTATGAATGAATTGACTCAAGTGAGAAAAATGAGACTATTATAGAGAATTACGTCTATTTTGGTGAATAGATTGATTAAGACTGTCTTAATGTATTGGTAAAAAAATTCTTAATCACAAGATTATAAGTTTATCAAAGTAGAAAATGATTATGGAGATTAATTAGAAGAAGGTTAAATGTGCTCAAGCTACATCGATAAGAAGCTATCACGTGAAGCACCTCAATTAGTGTTTTGATTAAGTACTTAATGACTTGGTATTAAATTATTTAAGATGTTTAGTTAAGGCCTAAACAAGATTAATTATGAGTTAATGAAGGATTATGGACTTAATTAACATAAAACAGAAGTTGTTATTACAAATGCGGGGAAAAGCATGAATAAGCAAAACCTTAAGGATTTAAAAGAAAGTAAGAAGTCATGTGACTTGCAAATAACTTGTAAGCTTATAAGAAAGCATACTACTTAACTAAATGAAAGAACAAAAGAACTAAATGAAAGAACAAAAGAAAGAGGAAAAGAGAGAGAGAGGCTGACACTAAGGAGAAAAAGAAGAAGGATAAGAGAGAGATAGGAACTTAAGGAATCAACTTGATTTTCAAAGGGCTTCTATTGGAAATCACATAAGGTAAGTTAATTTCTACTTAGTTTGTATTATGTACTTAATATGGAGGAGTTTGGGTTAGGGTTTCAAAGTTGAAAATTTGAAGGGAGATTGATTTTGATGTTAAAAAGTGATGTAAACATGATTTAAGTTGTTAATTAGTTGGTATTGAGTGAATGACATATGAATTGAGCTTTAAATTTGATTCAATTAAGAAAATCATACTCAAGGTTAAGGAGGTTAAGGATTGAGGCTCTGTGATACGGATCCACCATCATCAATCACTTATGGAGCTCAAGGGAACAAGGAGCACAATAATGGCGATCCATTAGTACTTCCTAGTGGACCAATTACAAAGAGCCGTACAAAGAAATATGGAGCAACCATGTCCTTATACATTCAAGAACAAGTTACACAAGAGCTCTATGACCTTGCTTTCAACAATTGCTATGAAGAACTTGAAGGCACACTTAAGTTTCTCACATTAATGGAAGCACATGTTGAGATGGAATCTGAAATTCCAACCTATGGCACGCCCAAACCGTGCTAGGTTAGCACGCCCGTGCAAGGTAGCACACCCAGGCCGTGCTAGAGTCTGACTTGCGGAGGAAAATCAAGTAAATAAATCAAGTAAACATTATTGAAGCACGCCCGTGCCAAATAGCACGGCCACGGCCATTTATCCCGCGTCTGACTTGCGGGAGGAAACATTATCAACATGAAGCACGCCCCTTGCAAAACTGGCAACGCCCCAAGCACGTTGCTAGGCGTTCTGCTTCTAGCGAGATAATAGTTAGTCTAATTATTGCTTATTTGGTTGTATCAATAATAATGGGTTGGCCTCCTATAATTTCGGTCCCCCCTGGATTTATCTTGATTTGTTAAGATTTAGTTAGTCTTAATGTATTTGGTATTAGTAATCTAATTCCTTTAAGTTGTAAGTAAGATTTGTAGTTCTTATCCTTAGTTGTTTAGATTAGCTAAATCCTTACCTTAAGCTGATTTAGATTACATTATTTCTAAATCCTTTAAGGATTCAGGACCCTTGAGATTTAGTATTAAAATAACTTGTTATATTGTACAACAAAGGGACAAATTTCATTTGAAATAAGAATCTACAGATTTTGTTTTCATTGCTTAGCGATGTTCCATTGGATTAGAAGAGGTTTGTGAGAAGTGCATTCCTCTAATTGCATCCCAGCATTTCAAGGTAAACTTATCCAATTTATTATGTTGCGGTTTTTATCTTATTATTCTTTTACTCTATTATTGGTGTTCTTGCTTACTTTAAGGCTTGGGTGCCATTGAGAGGGGGTTTTGTTTTGATCTTTTATCTCTTCCAAATCTTTGTCATTTTTAGAGTTCTTGGAATTAATTTCCATAGGGTTCCACGTTAGTTTTGGTATCAGGCCAAAGATTAAGGTAAATTCTGTAAATTCTTATTTATCTTAGTTCTAGGGTTTGTGATTTGTTTTCTTGTTTTCTTAAATTCCTGTGTTTGTCTTATTATTTTGCTTAGTTTTAATTTTGAATTTTGCATCATTGTGATTTCTTTAGTTTCGTTCTTGTTTCTATAAAAAAAAATTTTGGAAGTTGTGATCTTAGATCTTGCTAATTAGATCTGTAAAAAAAAATAAAAAAAAAGAGGAAGAAAAATTCATCCATCATTGAAGCTTGAGATGTGTTGTGTGGATTTTGTTCCTAAATCATAGGGATTTTGTTCCTAATTCATAGGGATTTTGTTCTTAATTCATAGGGACTTTGTTCCTAATTCTTAGGGATTTTGTTCCTAATTCTTAGAGATTTTGACCTTATTTTGTGGAGATTAAGCTTATCCACTATAATCTTTGATAAAATCTAATCTTAACTACTTTGTGGATAAGGTAACAAAAATTATTTGTCCATATCTTTTTGAGATATAGTTTATCCACTATCATCCTTGTCAAAATCTAATCCTAATTAAATTGGGTTATATTGAAAGGATAAGGGAGGATACAATTCAGCACGCCCGTGCTTCACAACAAGTACACCCGTGCTAGGCTCTGACTCTCAATTGTCGGACCAAGCTATACACGCATGCTCGTGCTCAATTCTGACCTTATAAAAAATTTTTTTTTTTTGAATTTTTGGATTTTTCTTTGATTGCTTGCTTTGTTTGGGGTAGAATTAATTAAGTCCATATTTGGTTTGCTTTGTAGTAAACTAAATTAATACATTATATCCAGAAATTGTCTTTTAAATTCTAGTTTCTTTATTCTTGTTTTGAGCTTTTCTTTTGCTTCTATACATTATTAGGGTGTGTTTGCTTG